AGTGTTCACAAGGTTCATGATGTCATGGTACGGCTGTACTATTGGACATGAACCACAAATATTCCTGTAAATATCACCTCAGGTAAACTGAGACGCTGACAGCTGAGGATGAATTGTAGGTGTGTGTGTTAGTTCTGTCAGTGTGAACATGTTCAAATCCTCTCAGCTTAAATATGGACCAAAGCCCAAAAACTGGACCACATTTCACTCTCTGTGGTTTTTACACTTCTTTTCCTCTGGTGTATATTTCAGCCTCACTTCAGTCTGTTAATCCTCCCCCCCCCCCTTCCTCTCTCTCTCTCTTTGCCTCTATCTCTCTCTCTCCCTCTCTCTCTCTCTCCCACTGTCCCTCCCTCTCCCAGCATCTCAGTGTCAGTGATGTGGTCGACTCTGCAGCAGCCGTCTTCCGTCCTCCGTCCTCTGAGACAGACCTGAGGTGAGGCAGGCCGTGGATGTGAAGGTAACCGATCTGTTTCTTCTGTTGTTGTTGTTGTCACTGATGTCTGTACGAGTTGGTCTTTCTCACTTTGAGTCACCTGAAAATACTGTATCTCCCAACACCACAGAGACTTATTCATGTAATCTGATGTCCCACCAGGGGGAGCTGCACCTTATCTTCGTAATACTGTGTTGTTGCTCCAGTTTCCATTGAGGTTTTTCTCTGCTAACCATTTAAATCAAAATTTAAGAACACTTTCTTAGTCTTTATTTTGAAGGAAAGGTTGGGGAACGTTCATACCTTTGACTTCAGGAGCAGGTTTTCTTTTCCAGACGTTCTCTCCTTGCTCTTGTCTGCGCAGTTATTTCAGAGAACTCGTTTTTCTTCTCCGATCTCCTGTGTTTATACAAAATTATTGCTGTTGTTTTCCTGTGATTTCATGCTGTGAACCATCCCAGAACCAATTTGTCTTCATCACTGCCGTGGTTTCTGCTGCCAAACATCTCCTCCTGGACTCGTTCTCTCTAACGATGATGACCACGGGTCAGAGCTGCAATTAAAGAGCTCCGTCGTGGTACCGGGCTCAGTCCAACGTTAGCAGCCGCCTGTTGTTTCAGGTGCTGCGTCTAACCATAAATAATTTAGAGGACGCAGTGGAGCACAGCCAGAGTCCGCTGACACCCCCACCCGATCCTCCCCCACAGAGTCACATCCTCAGGCCCTCAGCTGCATCTGAGACCTGACAAGACCCAAGACCTAAGACCCAAGACCCATGTACAGATCAGAGAGCTAATCAGAACCAGGCCTGGGCCTCTGGTCTCCAGGCTGACTTCCTCTGAGGAAACTGTCACCATGATGAGTTCAGTTTTTTCCCAGCAGGCTTTGAGAAAACAGTACTGGGTCAGGAAATGAAAACTGAAAATATGAAACTTTCCTTTAAACACAATGGATTCCAATGGTTCTGTGGAACCGATGTTGAAACGGTCTCCTGTAGAACTGCACCGTCAGAAGGTTTGAAAATACAAGGAGTTAGTGACTGATTAGTTAAAACATTACAATTAGCTCAGATGCTAATTAGATGTTAGCAAAGATACCATAAACGCTAAACTAAAATTAGTTAAGTAAAACTTGGTCATTGGTATTGAGGAACAGGTGAAGTGTAGTCGTTAAAAGACAAACACAGTTAAAGATTTGTTGAAATAAAACTGAGAACTCACTGTTAGTCCAACCTGCCAAAACAAGCTAAAGAAAAAAAAGAGCTAAAGATTTGGTGTGGATGCTGTGTGTGAGTCTGTGATGAGGTTGGTCACCGCGTTGGTCTGAGTGAGAGCTGGACTGAGCTAACAGTCCAAACATGGTCACAGCTGAGTGAAGACCATCAGGAGGTGAGAAGGTCAGGACCTGATGATGGACAGGTCACTGCTCACTGAGTCCATCTGCTGTCTGTTGTCCACCTGCAGTCATGCTGAAGGTAAACACTGAGGTTTCGGCAAACATCCACCTCAGCCAATCAGAGCAGCTGTTGTTCAAACGCATCTGAGAGCATTGGTCAGAAGATGTCCAAACAAGACAGGCTTAAACCTGTCGGCCCCTCAAAGAACCAGGACCCCTCCCCATCCCTCACCTACTGCTGTTTTGAAATTCTATAAACAAGTGGTTTTTGATGGAGATGTAAATAAATTCTAAAATCAGACTTAGACTGTTTCCCTTCTTGTCTTCAGATCAGATCAGATCCCACCTTCCTCCAGGGGGAGCACCAGGGTCATGATCGACTGGCCAAATGTGACGCAGTCCGGCAACCAAGAGGTGCCGGACCTGAAACCCGAGGAGCTGCAGAGGTCCACGTGTGTCCTGGGTTTCATCCCTGTCATCTACTACAGCGTCCTGCTGTGTGTGGGAGTCCCAGGTACAACCAGACCGACCACAGGGGGCAGCAGCGGACCAGCAGTTTCTGTGTCCCTGTGAGCCTAAATCACTCCTTCTTCTCAGGGTGTGACATTCAATCAGCCGACAGTCAATAGGTGTAGTTATTGATGGGAAGTCCTGGTCGATCGGATCACTGATCCAGACACTGATGAAGGTCCTTCACACCAGCCTCTGTCACATGACCATGTTTATTGATCTGACAGAAAGTGAGTTGTTCAGAGATCACAGGACGTCTCCGCAGTGTCCACGTGACCTCCAGGTCACACCCTGCCAATGGTCCTGTGTAGAGAAGGTTCAGAGGTCAACAGGTCACAGGCTGTTTGTCTTTTTAATACCGACAAATAGATTTAGAGGAAGACGAGACAGGACAGGACAAAGACGTGAGCCTGTATGTTTCCTTAAAGTCGTCCTCGTGGACATTAGGACATAAGTGTGTAAGTGGACAGTCATGGTGGACAAGGACTTAAAACTAACTGGTAAGAATATATTACTTTGAATATATTCAAAGTACTGATCTGGATTCATGACTAAGTCACTGCTGAGTCCCCACTGAGTCACTGCTAAGTCACTGCTGCACTGACCGTACTGACCGTACCATCGGTAATGAGTGGAGTTTTCATCACTTCCTGTTTTGTCTATGTCTCCTTCAGTGAACATCCTGACCGCGGTGGCGCTGTCCAGACTGGCATCACGGACTAAGAAAGCTCTTTACTACTACCTGCTGGCAGTGACGGGCTCTGACATCCTGTCCCAGCTCTTCATCATCTTCGTGGGCTTCCTCCTGGAGACAGCCGTCTTCCACCGCGATGTCCCCGAGCTGCTGCTGCACTCGGTCAGTGCTGCTGAGTTTGCGGCAAACCACGCCTCCATCTGGTCCACCGTCCCTCTCACTGTGGACCGCTACGTGGCGCTGTGCCACCCCCTCCTCCACCGACAGATCAGCTACCCAGCCCGGGCCCGCAGGATCATCGCGGTTGTGCTGACATTGTCGTTGGCTTCTGGAGTTCCGTTCTTCTGGTGGTCAGACATGTGGAGGAACAGTCACCCCCCCACTGTGATGGACACTGTCCTTATATGGACACATGTGACCATCATCTACTTCCTGCCCTGCAGCGTCTTCCTGGTCCTGAACTCACTGATCATTCGAACACTGAGGGTTAGACAGAGGCAGCAGCGACACCAGGAGGATTGTGGGACAAACGCCACGTCACAGCAGCGACGGCACAGACTTGGAAAAACCACGGCAATGCTCCTGTCCATCACCTCGGTCTTCTCTGTGCTCTGGGCCCCCAGAACCGTGGTGGTCATCTACCATCTGTACGTGTCCTCCGTTCACAGGGACTGGCGCGTCCACTTGGCGTACGATCTGTCCAACATGGTGGCCATGCTGAACACGGCCGTCAACTTCTTCCTCTACTGCTTCGTCAGTAAACCTTTCAGAGGGGCCGTCCGGGACGTGGTCCTGCTCCGGGGTGGACCACTGTATCCTGGACGGGCTCTGCCACAGCTGCAGGCTGCAGCCCACGCCTCTGTCTCCTCTCTGTACTGCGGGAACCACAAGCGCTCACACAGAGACTCCGCCCCCTTGTCACCACCGAGAGCCAGAAAGCCCTCATGACCCCCCGCTTTGACCAACTGACACAGAAACCCGTCTTCATCACCAGGCCGCCAGAGGAGACGTGACCTGGAAGACATGGTTGTCGACCCACAGTAGGGTCACTGAGTGACCACAGGAGTGATGTGAACAAAGGTCCAGAGAACCATGGTTCTACTGTTCTCCAGGACCAACATGTTGGAGAACCACCAGCCAATGGTGAAGGACACTGTCCTCATTCAGACCCATGTCTCTGCCAGGATGGACACAACCACTAGTAACCTCCTCCTACTTTAACCTGTCCTTTGCCCATCCATGCACACCGCCCTCTTGTGGACACATGTGACCTTCGTCGTCTTCTCCTTCACCTCCTGTTTGTCCAGCAGGACCAACATGTCCTCACAGCAGGACCCGGTCCTTCTGTCCTAACCTCAACACTGCCTTGACACTTCCCACAGTCCCTGAGCATGTCTCCCCCAGGGAGGAGGGTGGCCGTGGGCCACTGGGCCAGGGGCCCCTGGGTCCAGTCTCCCAGGCTCCAGAGAAAATATGTTTTTTTTAGTTTTTGTCGTGTGAATTCACTTCAGTAAATCACAGACTCCTGACAACATATTTATTTTGTTTTACAAGAATGTGACAGAAAAACAGGGTTTTTTGTCTTTTATAAACATTAATGTGACGCAATCATTTTTATAGAGTTGTGTAAAAAAGGAAAGAAAAGACCAGAGGTTTGTTTTTACGTTGATGAAATCAGTCGTCCACAACAGACCATGTCAGATCAGGGCCGCCTGAGCTGTGAGCGCCCCCTGCTGCAGACGTCTAATGTCATATACAGTTGTAATATAGTGCAGGCATAACCTGATTGGATTTAATGATGCCAAGTTGCTTAAATGATTTACATTCCAGGGGGCGCTAACACTTCACTAAATCCTGGGTTCTTTTGTTCATATATGTTGCTGTTTTTACATGTGTCCTGTAGTGGACTGAGTTTGTGTATGTGTGTCTTGATGGTCCACTGTGAGTCTACACTGACTGGTGGTCCCTCTTTACTCCACACCTGCCTCCTCCTCCTCCTCCTCCTCCTCCTCCTCCTCTTCCTCCTGCCCCTCACCCTGTTTAGACAGATACAGTCAGGGACTGACCTGAGTGTCCATCTCATCATGCCCCGCCCCCTCCCGTCCCTTGCTGAGTTCTGAGAGCCCAGACATAGACAAAGAGAGAAGTTTGTTTGAAGATGTCTCCTGCTGTCTGACCATAACACAGGAGGGCCTTCAGATAGGGAGAGAATAAACACCTCCATGTAAAGTTTAGGCTTTTTCATGTGTGGTTGTATAAAAAAGAGTCTCCGTATCAGTGAGGGGGTTCTATAAGAGCCGCAGAAGAACTGGGGGGCGGGGGGGGACGACTACCAGCTGAAGTATCTGAACATGTTTATGTCTGTATTCAGTGGGAGACGGATGTTCCTAACAGCTTACAGTGCCACACCAAACCTCCAAGAGAAAATCAGTGATTTTAGCTCAGACCAAAGTCCATAGAGAAAATCAGTGATTTTAGTTCAGACCAAAGTCCATAGAGAAAATCTGCACCTCCTGTTGTCAGTTTGTGTCACCAAGTTTAATCTTAATTAAATTTAGATTAAATTGTATTAAAAAAGAAACCCACACTCATAATTATTTGACAAATTGATTTTCTGTGTGGACATTGATTTGGGAAATGACACTGTCTCAGTGTCTCCTAAGTTTCAGTTTCCTGTTGAAAAATCCCATGGAACAGTGAGATAGAACAGCGATCATGTTTCTCTGACTCTGTAAACTTCAGCCGACATTAATTTTATAAGCTGAGGCTTCTGTTATCTTTCTGTTGGACAGTTTTCTTTTTCAACAGGAAACTGAAGTTAGGAAACCAAACAGTGGCTACAGCGGCTGCTCCACTGCTGTAGTCAGGGTGACAGTTACAGTCGTCCTCCACCTGTACCTCAGTAAAGGTGGTAACGAAGGTAGAATCTTCTGGATTAAAGTTTGATGAAGCCCAGCCTCTCTGAGACCTTTCTCTCCACACATCGTCTGTCCACCTGTCGGCTGTCCTTTGTCCCACCTCAAACAGCGACCCCTCCCTCCTGCCAGGGTCCACTGCTCCACAGCTGGCAGCAGGAACACCCACCACAACTTCCTATCAGGTCCCAGTGCTTTAATACAGGCAGCCCATACTGAGGCCACATGGGGCAGTGTGGCTGGAGGGGCTGCAGGTAAGAACAACAACCCCTGCCCCAAAGACTGCCCCCCCCCCCCCTTACTTAGACTGTAGTTTATAAATCACTGTCTAGGCCAACATGGATGGATGAGGGGACGGACGGATGGTTGGATGAAAAATGGTCATTGAATGTGATAATATTATTCTAAAAAAGAGGCCCAAGAACAGTGTTTAATTAACAAAATTAATTAAATTTAGTTACAGATAAAGACAGACGAACAGCTGAGCTTAAATCACTGATTTTCTCTATGGACATTTGTATGGAAAAGTAAGTGATTTATAGAACTGACATCCCTTCACCACCAGATGTCCCTCCTCACCTGTGTGGGTGAGTGAGTGTGTGTGTGCGTGCGTGCGTGCGTGTGTGTGTTTAGAGAGCGGCTCAGTCTATCAGCTCAGCCAGATGAAGAAGGAAGCCCTGGTGTAAACATTGTCTCTTCTTTTTTTTCTCTGTTTAAACTGAACTGAGATCAGTTCATCTTTTTTTCCTCTCAGATTATTCCTGAACTTTTCATCATCACTTCCATTTCTTCCTCAATGGTTGATCTTCGCCGTCCAGTTGGTGTTTGATCAGGACTAAGAACAGCAGGTACTCTGACACATCACACTCCTGTTAACTCCGTGTGTGTGTGTGTGTGTGTGTGTTTATTCAATGACCATAAAAGGTAACAATTTAAAGGCAGCTCCTGTTTTGTCAGAAGTTAAAAGTGTTGATTTTCTCTATGCTCTTTGGTGTAGGAGAGATTCAAAACTTGACAGTATCATCACTGATGTTTTATTCATTCATTCTGAGTCTTTGTTTCACCGAGAGATGCAGCGCCACCAACAGCACAGTTGTTGTCAATCTGTCATTGGCTCATAAATAAAAAATCCGAACATAAACTCTCCCTTTTATGATAGTTCCCAGCTAATGAACCTGTGGATGTAAAACCGTGGTTCGCTGCACTTTCACCTGTTCACAAACAACATTTGTCCTCACACATTATTAATGTTTAACATCGCAGCTGGCAAAAAATCCACAGCCTGACATTCTTGTGATTTTTGTGCCTCTGAACACAAGGCTGCTCCAGGGGACGTTGAGGGGGGGGGGGGGGGGGGGGTTCACTGAACCTGAACTGTACCTTTATGAGACAAAAGCATAACAAACTCTGTCAAAGTGTTTACTCTTCCTGGGACTCAGTCCTTAGAGAAAATCAGTTTGTTAACGTCTGAACACGAGGAGCGTGATGCATCGTGAATCAGTTACAGTGAATCAGTACAGTTATCTCAAAAAGTCACTGGTCATACCATGACACTACACACTCTAGTACAGTAGGTGGCGGTGGGCTTCTAAAAATGTTGGTGTTGACCTAAATGAATGTTCCTCTAATAGTTGGTAGTCTGGGTAGTGCACAGGTTAAATGGACTCAAATACAGCTAACATTCCTTAATGACACCTCAACTCACCACCAGAGGCAGCGGTTTTAGCTCACTGACCAAAATTGACCAAAAGAGAAAATGACTGTGGATCTGGATTCAAAAACCATCAGACCTGGACCTGGACCTCAGACGCCATCAGTGAATGACAAAGTGTTTAATTTGACCTTTTAAGCTGCTGGCTCACTGATGCCTCCTGTGGTCAGTGTGTGTCAGTGACGTGAACCGGGGTGAAGGGTGAATCAACAGTTAATGTTTGCTGTGACGTAGAGTTATTGATTTTCTTTATGGACTTTGGTGTGGGAGTGAAACTGCACCTATGGAGGGTGGGTCCACTGAAGTTGTTGTTGCCGTGGAAACGTGAAGGAGCCCTCCCTTCATCTCTAGTCCACAGTGCTCCACACCCTGCCTGTGTGTTGGTGAATCATGTCTGAGTAAAGCTGATGTTTTGATTCTGTTTTATGTACATGAGGTGGAGTCACGGGTCAGATGTTTGTTGGACAGGGTGGAGCGCTCCAACATCTTCAGAGTTTCTGTTCTTCACCCTCCCAGTTTCTCCTGGTTCCTCCACCTGAACACGTTCCATAAGGATCCCAGGGACCCGGTCCAACATGTCGGCCAACATGACCCCCCCGGGCTGCGGCTCCAACCTGGACTCTCTCTACTTCAACCTGTGTGACCTCAGTGCAGCGTGGGGGATCGTTCTGGAGGCGTTCGCTTCACTGGGCCTCGTCTTCACCTTCGTGCTCTTCGGCTCTCTGTTGGGCAGTCTGCCCTTCATCACAGACAAGAACCAGCGGAGCTCGGTCGCGCTCCACGCCTGGATCCTGGTCTTCACCTTTGGACTCTTTGGTCTGACCTTTGCCTTCATCGTTGGTGAGGACTTCTCCACCTGCTCCTCCAGGAGGTTCTTGTTTGGGGTTCTGTTTGGCGGCTGCTTCTCTTTCTTCCTGATGCAGGCCGTGCGGTTGAACTTCCTGTCCAGGAGAAACAGCGCTCCACGGCCCTGGCTTCTGTTCCTGGGGGCGGTTGGACTGTGGCTGGTGGAGGTGATCATCAACACTGAGTGGTTAATCATCACGGTGGTGCGTCACCCAACGCCCCCACTCAACGCCACCGCTCCAACTGACAGGTCTGCTGCCACACCCTGTAACATCGCCAACCAGGACTTCGTCATGGCCCTGATCTACGTGATGGTCTTGATCCTGGCCGTGGTGGTGGCGAGTGCGGCCGCCATCGCAGGAGAGCACCGGCGCTGGAGGAGGGAGAGCGGCTGCATCTTCCTGAGTGGAACTCTGTCCGTGGGAATCTGGGTGGCCTGGATCGTCATGTACATCCACGGTAATGAGAAGCACGGTGGCCCCACGTGGGACGACCCCACCCTGTCCATCGCCCTGGTGACAAACGCCTGGACCTTCATCATCATCTACACCATTCCTGAAGTCTGCTGTTGGACCAGCAGCGATGAGAACCAGCAGAGCTTTGGAGAAGAACTCTATGCCAACCGTGGAGTGGGCTACGAAAACATCCTGAAGGAACACAGTGGGCAGAGCATCTTCATGGAGAACAAGGGCTTCTCCCTGGACGAGCCCAGCCATGGTAGGTCTGAGAAGAAGAAGTTTGAAGACAACAGTAAAATCAGAAATAATTACTGCAGGATAGCCAGGAAGTAGGTGATGCTGATGATGATGATGATGAGGAGGAGGAGGAGCTTTTTGATGTAACTTTTACTGCGTGTGTATTGTCAAGAATCTGTCAATATGATACGGTACGTATCACAATACGGGGGAACAATACGATATATTGCGATAGACTGTGTTACATTTGGAACGGCGATATATTTTATAACCAATATAATTGTAGTAAACTGTCATCATAGTGAACACACAGGGCTGTTCCATCTGAGGGATCCACATTTGGAATCACTGGACAAGACGTAAAAGAAAAATCAAATGAACCAACGACATTAATATATTTGACTGGTAAATGGTAATAAATCCATACAGTGATGTAGAATATTCATACAGTATCGTGAAATGAAATATCGCAATATTTCAATTTATCACTATTTTCTCATAACCCCAACAAACAGTGGAATATTTTCATCTTTAACAAAGACGTTAGTTTTTCTGTCCTGTCGTCTTTGAGCAGATCATCACTGAGTCATCACTGTGGTTTCACCTCCTCTCATAACTGCTGCATCATCATCATCATCATCATCATCATCATCATCGCAGCTGCTCCCACCGCACCATCTGTTTACACTGTCACCATAGCAACAGCGCTACAGCAACCTATTCTTCTGTGCGTGTGTGTCTCACAGGTGTCAAACCAGTGTCTCCGTACAGTGGTTACACTGGTCAACTGCGCAGTTCAGTCTACCAGCCCACAGAACTGGCTCTGATCAGCAAATCAATAGGAACCGTGAGTCTCTCTCTCTCACACACACACACACACAAACACACACACACACACACTGTTGAGTGTATTCATTTATAGTCCAGTTGTTACACTGTCTGTCTTGAGTGACTGATGAGGGACCTCGTCCACAGACTCTGGTCTGTGCTGTAAATGAAGTCATACCTGTGTGTAATTATGGGATGGCTTGTTGACGGTTCTGCCTGATGACATCACACAGCTGACTCCTGACTCCTCCCATGACATGGTGATTCCCAGAGCCTCCGCCTCCACCGCAGCAGCAGGGGCAGACAGCAGGGGCAGCACACCATCCACCAACAGCCGGACTCAGCCCAACGGAGGCAGTGTAGGTCACACACACACAGACACACACACACACACACACCACTGCTGTTTCCATAGTGACGCCTCCTGCAGGTGGAGCATGAATGGCATCTTTGTCTGGATTCTCTGTGGTGTGTGTCACCTGCTGGAGCCCAGTGTCTCTGCAGTCTACTGACTGTCAGACAAAGGAGCAGCTACAGTCAAAGACCAGTTCCACAAAGGTCAACCACAGAGGTCACAGGAGGTTGTTCCTGCCTCTTTGGCCCCTCCCTCTGGGAGGCATTAGTATTCACTCAATATATGTTTCATCTTTGTATTTTTGTTCAATATTTTTGACATTCTCCTTCATCTGACGACCAGAACAGGTCCAAAACCAGGTTTGTCCTGATCATGTGACCATGTCTCCTGTCTCACAGAGTCTTCAGAGGACGTCCCAGTGGTGAATGTCCTGGCACAGCAGCAGTGTCCAAACAGTTGTCTCCCTGACTGACGGGTCGATGCTGCTCACACTCCAGACCACGGTGATGGACAAGATCTGGACCTGCTGTCAGCTGACTTCCTGTCTGCCACCCTGAGGGCGGAGCTTGGTTCACGGAGTCAGAGTTACACTTGTCGACCCTCGTTCAGGAGCTGAGAGTAAACTTTAAATAGGACGGGACAAAGCCAATGACATGAATGTCATTTTCAAATGTGTGATTATTTAATATTTATAGCAAATGTCTAAAGTGTGACTTTCATTTATGAACACGGGAATAAACACCTGAGCTTCACTGCATCACCCAGATCATCACAGTCTCATCACCGTTTAATCACAGTCTCATCACCGTTTAATCACAGTCTCATCACCGTTTCCTGTAAAATCAAAGTGATTGTCCGATCCTCTGATCTTCTTGTCTCTAAATGCTGCCATAGATTAAATAAAAAATGTATTTGTTTATAAAAAAAAAAGATTTTTTTTTCTAGATAGCTTCAAGTTCTTGTTTTAGAACTCTGTCTAGTATTGAAACATCCAGGACTGATCCAGGGTTCTTCACTGACGTCATCATGGAGGTCACAGGAGGAGAACTACAGGTCAGGGTTCAATTTACCTGCTGTCTACACACACACACACACACACACACACACACACACACACACACACCGTGGGAGAGGAGTTTTATTGCAGATAAGCTGAGTTTATTGCTGTTGTGTGGCACCTCAATCAATGGCTGACTGTTGGGTCACAGTCACTGATGTCAGGAGAGAAGACTGTCATCATCACAGGGACGAGACACCAGCTGACAGGGTTGGTCTCTTTATTATTAGTCTTAACATTATCATTGTTATTTCTATATGTTTACATTGTTGGTTCTACTTCTGACCTGTGCGTGCACACACACACACACACACACACACACACACAGAGTTGTTCAGTTGATCTCTCTGTGTGTGTGTGTGTGCGTGTGTATCTGATGAAGTTCACTTGTTGTCTCCACAGGTTTGAATCTGAAGCTCTGTTCCTGTTCCTGCTGCCGGAAAGATAACACACACACACACACATTCACACCAAAGAAGATTTAAGGAGAGTGTCACTCTGCCTTTTTGTCTCTCTGAGATTTAATGTCCCCTAGTCCCCCTCACCCCCACCCCCAGACACATCTGAGGTCAAAGACTGTGACCTCCAGTGACCTAGGGGAGAACGTGATGTTGATCAGTGTATTCCGACCCCAGCAGACTCAGGGCTCAGGGCTCACGTTCACTCATTACTGTTGGACGCTGCAGGAAGTTCAACTATAATAAAGAGGAAGAAGAAGTTTGGAGTTTTTTACCGTTAGATTCAAATGACACAGTATTTAAATTTAGTCTCTGACTGTACTGGACATGGAACCTGATCAGAGTTCCTCTGCTGTTAGACAGACTGTCCTGACCAAATAACATGTGGAAAAACAAACAGAACCAAACCTCATGGAGAAGAGCAGTGATTTTATCTGACAGATAAATCAGCAGCTGTTGGTCCACTGCTGCCTCAGTCACTGCCTTCTAATGTGACTTCACACCAAATCCTCTGTTCAAATCTCACACCGATACACACTCACACTCTGACCACAGGAGGCAGCAGAGGACAAGCAGCTGCTATGTCTCCATGAGCTTTAAGTTGGTACTAAACTAACTAAACTAAACGAACAGCTTTTTCACAGTGACAGTAAATCATGTCAGTGGAACCAGAACCATTTTTTCCTGAATTGATGTCGGTTCTTCTTAGACCACTGTGATAGAGGTTGAAGTCCAGTAGACGTGTAATAATGAATGGAGGAACCAGTGGTTCATTCAGTCACGTTGTTGTTGTTGTTGTTGTTGTTGTTGATGTTGTTGTTGTTGATGTTGTTGAGTCCCACAGGTGTGTGTTTTTTTTATCCCACTGCTGTCAGTTATTCTTCAGTTTGACTGTGAGTTCACACAAACAGGTTAAACAAACTGTGGGGGTGAATGTGAAGGAGAGCTGACCAATCAGAGGGCGCCGTTCAGCAGCCGCAGCAGCAGCCAGTCTGTTAATGAACAACACTGTGTGATTACCTTCAGCAAACACTCTGCTGTTTTACTGAAAGAAAACTGAAAGTTTTTACAACCCAAGAGTGAAGCAGAAAAACCATGAAGGTGTGTTCAACTGTGGGCTCAGAGACACCGCAGTGACCGAGCTCACTCCTTAAATACTCCTGACAGGAAGAATACATTAAATTAAAAATGAAACTCTAGTTAAATGAATTTATATAAGGTTGAAAATGTTAGTTTTTAGCTGTTTCTGGCTGTCTTTGTCTGATTGTACCTGTGTTGTTGTTGTTGTAGTCTTTTTCAGCTGCTGTATTTTCATTCAACCTTTGGTTTTGGTTGTTCTGTTTGCAGCTGAGTTTTTGGCTAACTTTTGGTTGTTCTGTTTGCAGCTGAGTTTTTGTCTGAGCTGTCATGCTAAAAGTTAGGGCTAATTTTACAACATTCATGCTAACTCATTGTCCACTAGTACTTTGTTTTATTTTGGTGGTAAACATCAGGACACAACATGCTAACACGTTAGCTCTGAGCCGTGGCTCTGACCTGTGCAGCAGCAGAGACCAGCACAGTGACACAACAGTCCGGTCTTTGTGAGACCAGGACAAAGCTGCTCCTGTGAGTCCAACGACACCTGAGCTCCAGGAACCTCCAGACCTGACCTCCTCCTGCAGTCTGAGCTGAACATTTAGGGAGAAAAACACAGAGAGAGGCTCCTCTGGGGAACCTCTGGTTGGAGCTCATGAACTCCAGGTCTGACCAGGGTCCTTTATGATTCGTCTTTAACATTCAGGACACGGTTACCGTCCTTGATCGGGCTGCATTCCTGGCAGTCTTTCCCTTGAGAACTGGGACAAACCAGAGTCAAAGAATGTGAAAAGTGTGTCTGCTGAAGTGGGAGGTTCAGGATTAACAGGGATGAGGCTAATCCCTCAGATCCAAAGACTGGATCCTGGTTTTGGACAAGGAGCTGCTGTGAACAGAACACACCTGTAAACTGCTGCTCCTCCCTGACCATGGCCACTGCAGTTAGTGATGACATAACTCATTAACTAATCAGTGTTTAGTTTCCACTACTTTTTAGCAATGCTACGTGTTAGCATTTTATTTTTAATTCTATTTACTAACATAACTGCTGCTGTTACTGCTGGTACTGTTACTGCTGCTGGTACTGGTACTGTTACTGCTGCTGTTACTGCTACTGGTACTGGGTTACTGCTGCTGGTACTGGTATGGTACTGTTGCTGCTGCTGGTACTGGTACTGGTACTGGTACTGGTACTGTTACTGCTGATGCTGCTGTTTCCTTGGATGTTTCCTGTAAACACTGGTCTCTGTGGGGATTTACTCTCTGGTTCCTCATCAGTGAGAAGACACTGCTCTACAGTAACACCTTCTGTCACTATCACTAACAACAGTGTACAAACTAAATGTGTTTGTTTTGTTTCTTTAAACATCAGTTTAATAAATACATTAGTTTAAAGGCCGTGCAGCACAAATGCATTTTTATTTAATTAAACATCAGCCAATTACTTTAATGTTTATGTATTTATGTCACATTAATTCGATTTTCAGATACACCATTCGGTTTTCATATTCTCTTTATGGTATAATATTAATGTGAATTTTTATTTTAATATTTTATTTTAACTGAGCCTTTTTTTAATTGGTGTACATTAAATGATGTTTGTATTTTAAATATAAATTATTTTATTTGGGGTTCGATTTTCTTATCTTGTCGTTTTTGTTTGGATTTATTCGAGTTAGTTTTTTAATCATGACTTCGTTCAATCGACAGTTTGGCTTCATATTATAGAAATTCTAAAGAAATGCTGACCCCTGCTGATCACAACCTGAACTGCAACCTATAACTTCTCTATTTGCGTAGTTAATAAAAGGAATTCTGATTGGTCGGTCCGTTTCTCGCTGTCCAATCAGCACCAGTGTTGACAACCATACCGGAGGTAGGCTGTAGTCAATGTTACACCGCTGTTCGTGTCTTATTCAGCTGGTTACAAGTCAGAGGATAATGTGGTTGTTACCTGTTTTATTTTAGTTACTGCATCAGTATTCCACAGCAGTAATTATCGATTATAACTACTGTTCACTAAAATGCTGCGTTTGTTAGAAACGTCATTTTCTTTACAGAAGGTGAGCAAAAAGTACAAGCTAACGAGTTAGCATTAAGGCTTACACAGAACATATTGATTTCGGCTTTTATTTTTGTTCGTTTTCCCTTTTGAATAAACATATTTAAAAAGACTCATGTCACTTTTACAGCTACACCGGGTTTAACTGTGAAGTATTTTTTAGAGTTTTAGAGGTTGTTTATGTTGTCGAGGTCAAACCTCAATTCTTTGTTATTTCATTTATTTAGACTTTAATAAAGATTTCCGTCTTTGTTTATATTTCCCTATCATTTTATAGAACTCTTTTATATTAAGCTTTTATATTTTAAGCTTATATTTAAGGCAACTTCGAATAGGTAACTTCAAATGTTTTTTCCCTCTGTAAATATAAATAACTAGTTTTAAAGTTTTTTTTAATGATAAATGTTGGTGGAGAGTTTGCAGTTTTTAACCCTTCAACTCCTGTTACAGCTGTGTGTCTCCTGTCTGCTGCAGTGGAGACCGCCTTCCCGTCTCTCTCCTCAGAGTCCATTGAGGAGCTTTGTCCACTGTCTCTCTACTGAACCTCCTCCTCCTGGACCTCCTGTGTCACTCTCAGAGTCCTCTGATTCGAACCAAGGAACCTTTGGCCTCACCTCCACCTCCTCTTCCTCTCCTTCTCCCACCACACCTCCCCCTGACTGCTCTGACACTGTGTCTGATTCAGGAGCCTCTTCAGCCTCCCCTCCTGACAGGACTCCTCCTCCTCCTCCCACTCACTGCTGTATGAGTGGCTGTCACAACTGCGTATGGATTGAACACGCTGAGCAGCTGCTGAGGTTCTACGCTGATGGAGATGAGAAAGCTCTGGCTGCTGTGGAGGAGAACGTCCTGGATGAGAACCTGAAGACCTACCTGAAGATGGAGATCAGACTCCTGAAGAAGACGTGACTCCTGCTTTTACCGGAGTCATTGTCCTAGTTCTTCATGTCCAGCAGGTGAAGGACACTAAGGTCCAGGTGTTGAACCTCAGGAAACTTTTCCTCATTTCATCTGTGGAAACATCTGATCTCCACGGCGTTGTCCAGACAACAGAGGAGTTTAGAAACAGATTTCATTTGACAACAATTATTGTGTGATTCCTTGTCAAAAAGCATTTTAATATTTATTTATCACTAATGTGTCAAAAATATATTTATGTGATTTATTTATTTTTTAATCTTTTTGCTTTTGATTAAAAGAAGAAATGTTTCATAAATGTTTGTGTCTTTACTTCAAACATTAGACATTCAACAGACATTTACAAAAGCTGTTGTGAAGTTACTGATGAACTGTTTCTCACCAAGCAGGAAAAAATATAAAGAACTTTATCGTGTTTTAAAATGTAGAGAAGGTGAAGTTCTCTGAGGACACAGCATCAGGTCTGACCTTCTGAACTTTGACCTCAGAGATGTTAACCAGGTTTGGAGGAGGAATGGAGAGAGCCTGAAGAACCTCCTGGTGGAGATGCTTCATCACAGAGACATCTGAGAATCTTCTGATTGTAGGAGAACAAGCTGGTGTTCATGGGTTCCTCTTCCATCGCAGACTGAAGAAGAACAGTCTCCAGTAGAACAGAGTGAGTCTTACTGACACAGCTGTGATGTAAGATGTTGTTATGTTCACCCTCGGTTATGTGACGTGGAGGTGGGAGGAGCAGGAGGAGACGGGATGCTGATAATCTCTGCAGTGTTGGGTTATAAGAGGAGGTGGGGGTCTGCTGTGGTTCTTCAGAGAACGCTGAAGATCCGGACTCAAACATCGGCTCCACACCAGGACCTATCACCATCAGGCTGTGACTCCAGCAGCAGGTGAGTTCATCTACACCTCACCCGGGTCTTCAGACCAGAACTACAGACCAGAACTACAGACCAGGACCACAGACCAGGACAGGCTCAGAGGATGGTGACAGTAACATTTATCTCAACATTTTACCGTTACAAAATGAATTGTGTTTAAAACCTTTTTACTCCAGCACCAAGATAATGTTTATTTATTCTGTTGTATGTAGAGAAATTAAGTGTTTGTTATAAAACACAGCTGTAATCTCATGGATTAACAAGGACCTTTTACTAAAGTACACATTTAAATGGATTAACCTGAGTCGCTGTCACATGGTCCTGATACCAGAGCAGATTAAACACAGATTAATTATCTCCAGACTGAGTGACACTGTGAACATGGACACGGTCCACTGACCTCCGAGCTGCTAAATGCTAACATTATTTTAATAATAAAAAAATAATAATTTAATAATATACGTATATACAAATAAAAATATATATACTATTACATTTTAGTGTTTTGCCATTATATACACCTAGTTTGGATGTTTGTACAAATGCCTCTAATTTTCTACCCGTACGGTTTATCGTTCTTTTACCAATGTGACTGATCACGTGACAAGTAAATGCAAAGAAAATGAGTAAAAGTTACAAAGAAGAGGCTGCGGCTCATTTCAATGTATTACTGTTCAATTAATACTGGTACCAGTAAGCACTGGTCTCTGTTCAGGTCTGACGTCTCTCGTCTCCTAAACTGACCTCCATTCGAACTACAGTACAGTACAGTACAGTACAGTACAGTACTGATGATGACGCTGTGATTGGACCTGATATGAACATCTGTTCAGTCAGAGGATTGACACTTAGACCCTCAGTGCTGGATCAGCACCTCCTGTCCTTGCTGTAATATCTTATTAGGTTGATCCAGCGATTAAGGTGAAGCGGGTCATCCTGATGGAACACAACAGAACAGAACAGAATAGAACAGGCTCCAGCTCAGGCCTTTAATCACGGGGACAATGAGAGTAAAGCCTGCTGACGTCACAGACGGATTAGAGTCTGAAATGTCAGACGGAGGTGACACAAGGGGGAGACAAATGACAGAGGACTGCTGATGTCATTGTTTGGTGGTTCTGTCCACCAATCAGACGGTGTCTTTATTAAAGTTCACTTTTCAAGCTTACAGACAGGAACCCGAACCGTAGAACCGAGCGACCGACATGAACCTCGACGCCCCAAAAGAGATCAAGTCAGCCACGCGTGTCAGTGGAGGCCCCGCCACGCCACGCAAGGGCCCCCCCAAGTTCAAGCAACGGCAGACTCGTCAGTTCAAGAGCAAGCCCCCGAAGAAGGGGATCCAGGGGTAAAAGCTCATGGTTGTCTCTAAAGAGTACATTAATAACTTCAGGTCAGAGTGTCAATGCTGTGAGCGCCCCCTATGCCAGAGACCAGAGACACAAACACAAAAATAAACTGGCAAAAAGGGGAGAAGAATTTATCTTAAGGTTGACATTTTAACAGTTTAGCCGTCCACGCCTACTATTTAAGGTCACGGAACCAGAGGGCCTACCTGACTACTGCTGCCTCCTGTGGTCAGTGTGAGTCACTGACGTCAGTGTGAAAGAGATTTCATCTCTGAGCCTAAATCCCTAAATGTTTCTATTGACTTTGTTGCAGAGACCTGAATATAGATGCTATTTCAGAGATTTTTGTAGTTACATTTTTCAATTTGACTTTTACAAACATGCACGTTTTTAGTTCCGTTTACATTAATTGCAGCAGGGGGCGCTCACAAACAGCAGTTTAAACTCCTTGAATTCTGATTTTTGCTCTTCAACGTGACGTTGTTCGTTGCAGCTTTGGTGATGACATCCCAGGGATGGAGGGTTTAGGCACAGGTCAGTCTGCTGCAGACATCAAACTCATTGTTAATTTTATTATTGATTATTCTTCAACACCGTTTCCTTCATATTTCCGCAGACATCACCGTCATTTGCCCTTGGGAGGCCTTCAATCACCTGGAGCTGCACGAGTTGGCCCAGTACGGCATCATCTAACCTGTAGCCACCAGGTGTCAGTGTGACTGTGGGACTGTTCTAACACCGACTGTGACAAACACGACACCAGAAAGACAAAAAGAAAGAACCTGTCGCGGATTCTTCTGCTGCTGCTCCTGCTCTGCTCACCTGTGACATTTAAACCTGATGACTTCACTGGATCTTCACCAGCTCTCTCTCTCCTTTCTTCTTCTTCTTCTTCTTCTTCTCTTCCTAGCCCCTGCTTTTCTTTCTTCTTCTTCTTCTCTTCCTAGTCCCTGCTTTTCTTTTCTTTACTTTTTTGTTAAAACATGTGGGGCAGGACAAGCTTCACGATGAGTTACAGTCACAGAACCCATTAACATTAGCTGTGTTTCCTTTTCACCTGCTCAGACGTGAGGTTCTCTCCATCCATGCTGCAGATACTAAAGGAACAGTTCAGGTGTTTGGAAATGTGGTGGTAGGAGGTACAGACATTTGACCAGCTCAGACCTCTGCTGTCCGTGGTCTGAACCTGTGGTTGCCTTGTTTAGAATGACCTGATGAAAGTAAAGTTGACACAAACTGACCACAGGAGGCAGAAGTGTGTGAGCTAAAATGATTTTCTCTATGGACTTTGGTCTGAACTAAAATCACAGATATAAAAAAAAAAATTAACCAAAAATAAAGATGGTAAAATATTTAGTTCAATTATTGTAAATGTATTTTATTGACCTGGTCTGGTTTTAATAAATGTTTAAATACTGTTTTGTTGTTTCTTTGTCTGTACCTCATAAAACCACACAAGATAAGAACTGTCCCTTAATGGACATTAGTCTTCTGTAGTGTTGACACCAACTCCCCTGTTGAACTCACCCCTGTATTTTATTAAAATGAATAAAAATGTACATTGTATGCTCTGTACCTGTTTTTCTTCCTTCTTTTCTGTCGTCTTCTTTGAAGAAAAATGTTGATTTTACGGCTTTGTCACTGTCGTCCACCTCTTGTGTTTGTGATTATTAAATTGATCACAAAGTAAAGGCTTTATAATTATTTTATTTTTTACATGTGATAACAGAGAAATTTCTATGCACAAAGTAAAGGCTTTATAATTATTTTTTACATGTGATAACAGATAACAGAAAAACCTCTAGCTCTTTGTGGCTGTCCGTAAAAATATGACAGAGAAAAATGTCAAGCTTCTGTTATTAAATAAACAAAATAAAACAGTAACTTGACTAACAGTAAGTGCTTTTTATATTTTTTAATGATAAATTACCATTTTAAAACGTAGTTTAAAATGGGTAAAACGACACATCATCGGCACTTCCAGAAAAACACATATTTAAAGAAAATATTTTTGCATTTATTGGTTCGTCGTATTTAAAGACAAACGTCAACGTCGTCTGTTTCGCTTCAATCTATCAAAGCTTCATAGATTCTGCAGAAGAATTCGTGACTAAAAATATTCTGAGCTGTTACTCCACACTTTTACAGTGTACTGCTGCTGTACCACTGCATACACGTACAAAAACTAATAAAGCAATAAAATAAGCAATGGAAGGGGAGGACAAGGAGAACAACTAGGTAAACAATTCAGAAAGCGGAACGTTCGATTCGTTCAGGTCATGGTTCCCCTCCGGGCGGCTTTAGTGTGGAACCTTTGATTAAACGTCTAACGGTCACTAAAGACTGTTGCACCCGGTCTGCTGTTTGAGTTGCGGGATGAAGTTTGGTGTTAATGCTGCGTGAAGCTGCGTGAATTTTTGTTGCGTGCAGCCGGTGGAATTAGAACACATAGGTGGAGCCAACATGACGGACACCATCGTGAGTACAAAATACTGTGTATTTGTGTTAGCCGTTAGCCCTGAGCCCCGGCGATGATGAGGCAGCAGAATTAGCCTGGTTGCTAATGTTAGCCAGCTAGCCTCCATATTCAATTTTCCATAGGAACAAACTGTGGCCTGGTTAGCTCTGCCGGCTAATATTAGCAATGCGTAGAAAAGCGAATAAAATTAAACGTTTTAGTCAGAATTGTTAGTCTTTACACCTCCGTGGTGTTATTATCAAGGAGGCTCTAATATTTCTAGCCCGTGTTTAACTAATGTAAGCTTGTACGAGCTCGACGTTTGGAGCCGTCATTCATGGTGACATTTATTTTTGAAATCAGAGAGTCGGATAACAGAATGTAGTTTCAAACTCACATCTTAATCTGTCAACATGGCTTTTTATCGGCTGCTTTTTAGAGGCTGCTGAGCTCAGATCAAGATTAGTTTTTGCATCGTCATGGTTAACACAATGTCCCGTCACTGACACCAGTCACTGTGCATTCTGAGGGGGGGTGATGCTCCCCTGTTTTGAGTGGCAGCTGTTTGTTGTTGGAACAGTTCATACAGGGTCGTTAAAAATAAAGCAGGGCTTTTACAAAGACGGACTTTTGTCTGGAGTGTTCCACAGTTTGAATGAGAACAAAACAATACTGAAGTTGCGGAAGCTCCAGCTACAAAAGAAAACAACTGAAACGTAGTCCAGTGAATTCACGGTGACGGGTTAAAAAAAGACGCAACGTCATTTGACAGATTTTCAAAAAAACACGGCCGTCCAAATCAGTGGTTTTAGCTGAAACGCTGCTGGTTCATTGCCCTGTCACGTGATCAGTTTGCGTCTGTGAGGCGGAGACATCTAAGTCAAACAGATACATACTGTATATAATGAACGTCAACACAACTATTAGATTATATTAAGTGAATGGTTGTCTGTTGTTTAAAACAGAACGTTGATGTTTGTGAAGTTCTTACTGATAGATTGACTTCAGGAGAGTTTGTAGTAGTCCACTCACTGTCGCCTCCTTCAGCACGTTCACTTGTTCGCAGTCCTTTGTTCAGATTGCCATCAGTGACATGGACTGGTCTCAGATTTCCTCAGTCGACCTGCAGCTTAAATGAGTCTTTTTCTGGAGGTGCTTTTGTAGAGAGAAAGTGAATGTTTTTTCTAAGTGAGGAATCCTGTTAGAACGTCTGTCCAACAGCCAGGTGAAGCAGTGGACATGTTGACATGTGGACACGTTGACATTCACTGCTCTGGCCTTGTTTCAACATGGTCCAATAAAGCTGTCTCCATGTCCTCTGTCAACAAGGTTTTTTATGCTGTGAAAGACTGGGACCATTACAGACTGGGATTTTTGTTTTTGTCACTGAGTTATGAATGCATCTATACACTCTGATGTTTCACTTGTTCTTATCAAAGAGCAGACGTTGTGACTTGAGTAATTCTGGTGTGTCTGTCTCCTCAGATTGTCAGAGTGCAGTCTCCAGAAGGGATGAAGAAAATTCCTTCATCCAAGAGGGAAACGGCTGCTGCCTTTCTCAAGAAGGTAACTGCTCTGGTCTTATTTACCTGGCTACCTGTCAAGACAGAACAATATAAAAATATGAACTGGAAAGACTTCCTTTCTTTACAGGAACACTGTAAAACACTGTTTGTGTCCGTGGAACAAGTTCCTCCCACGTTCTGTCTCAACACCTGAATGTCACTCAGGCTACGTAGGGATCTGACGTCTTGGCTTAATAGTGTGTCACAACCAACATTTTAGGCTCATACTGCCACCCACTGTACCTGAGGGTGTAGTGTCATGGTATAACCACTTTTTGAGATAATTCAGTTCACTCCTTACGCCTTGATGCATGATTAATTTTTTATTTCAACCAATGAGAATTTTTACGGATTTGTATCTATTTTTGTTTTAACCCATTCACATCAGTACAGTGAGAGCAGCTCTGAGCAGCCAGACGACACTGCAGCTCAGTACTGTCAGTGTAAACAGATCTGCTGCAGTGTGTGAGTGTGTGTGTGTGTGTGAGGGAGGGAGTGAGAGAGAGAGAGAGAGACTGGTCCAGTCTCTGGATTGGTCATGTACGGTGTTTTTCAAACTCATTTTTGCTGAGGTTGTTGAACCTGACCTCCAGGGAGAACACACGGATGTAAAAAGACAAACATGTCAAGCAGTTCCTGGATCTCTTGATTCCAGCAGAAAGCTGACTCTGCCTCACTGCAGTCACACCTCATTAAACATTGATACAACTGTGGGTCGGAGGAAGGAGGACCGGGCCGTCGGATCAATGAACGAATCGGTTTCAGCGAGGGTCTGGTGATGAAACACAAAACCAAGGGTGTGAGACAGAGAGACAAATACATGGAGGGAGGTGAGGGGACGAGGGGGGTCTTCTCTGTCTGTAATAATAAATAAAGACAGTTGACTGACAGCTGTCAAACTGCCACAGTCTGAAGGTACAAGGTCATGACTTTGATCTGGTCAGATGTTCATGAGGGCTTCACCGGTTCCCACAGTATTGTTTTCATCTGTACTTGATCTTCTGTTCAAAATGTTGTTCAACCTCTGGTTCTCCCCCCACAGGTCGCCAAAGAGTTTGGCTTTAACTCCAATGGTTTCTCTATTTATGTGAACCGCAACAAAACTGGAGAGATTTTATCTCAGAACAAAAGTCTGAGTTTTCTCAAAATTAAGTGAGTACATCGTCTGTGTGTGTGTGTGTGTGTTTGTTTGTGTGTGTGTGTGATGATCATCCGGCCTCAGTGAAGACTTCTCTGGTGTGTGTTTCTCCTCAGACATGGCGACATGCTGTTCCTGTTCCCCTCAGCAGCGTCTTCCTCCTCGGGGGAGGTGATGGATACGGCCCTGCCCCACACGTCCTCCTCTCTGCCATTCTTCTCCTCCTCCTCAACCTCCTCCACAGCCATCCCTCGCTCCTCTTCTGCTCCTCAGATCCAGGAGGACGAGATCGATCAGTATCTGACCAAGCAGGACGGAAAGATCTACAGGAACAGAGACCCACAGCTGTAAGAACACGGCCCATCAGTCTGGACTAGAACCACTGTCAGTGTGGGAACAGACCAGGAATTAGAACGTAGAACATCTGACCACTGTGTCTTTAAAGATGTCCAGATCAGTCCAGAGTTTCTTTAAATGTCCACAGCCTTCACCTGTTGTAAGTACAGTGTGTGTGTGTGTGTTTTGCAGATGTCGTCACGCGGCCCTGGGAAAGTGTGTGCACTGTGTTCCGTTAGAGGTAAGAGATGCGGCCCTGGGAAAGTGTGTGCACTGTGTACCGTTAGAGGTAAGAGACCCCATGTTTGGTTTCCCATCATTTCCCATCATTCCTCCAGTCAGTTTTGTCATTGTCTCCTGCCTCTGTCTCCGTCAGCCTTTTGATGAAGACTACCTGAATCACCTCGACCCGCCGGTCAAGCACATGTCATTCCACGCATACCTCCGCAAACTGACGGGTGGAGCAGATAAGTGGGTTGCTGCTTCTGTTTTTTTTTTATTTAAATTCATCTTTTTTTTTTTTTTTTTTTTTTTTTTTAATTTTTCTGAAATGCTGTGTTTTTCTCCTCAGAGGGAAATTTGCTGCTCTGGAGAACATCAGCTGTAAGGTCAAGTCAGGCTGTGAAGGTCACCCCCCCTGGCCCGACGGCATCTGCACCAAGTGTCAGCCCAGTGCCATTACACTCAACAGACAGGTATGACAATCAGAGCCACAGTGATGAGGTCAGAGGTCATTCTTAAGATCCTGTCAACCAATGAACAGCTGTTCCTCCGGAAGAACCCAACTTTGTTCTTCACACAGTTCCTTTGTCGTCGTTAGTGGTGTAACGATACAATCAACTCACGATACGATATGATTTACAGTTTTTGTCATGATGAACAATTCATTTTTATTTCAACTGATGTGAACTGTGTCGGATTTGTATTCATTTTAACCCATTCCCGATGCATCGTTACATCCCCGGTCGTGGTTTTATCAGGAGAGTTACGGCAGCGGCCACACGTCTGAATTTATCTGTGGGTTCTGTTACACTCACCTCAGAGATCTGAGCGGATGTTGACTTGTTTTGCTGAGTCATGAGTTCTGTTTTTGTCCTGTCAGAAATACAGACACGTGGACAACATCATGTTTGAGAACCACACCATTGCTAACCGCTTCCTGGACTTCTGGAGAAAGACGGGCAGCCAGAGGATGGGCTTCCTGTACGGCAGGTACACTGAGCACAAGGACATCCCTCTGGGTATCAGAGCTGAGGTGGCCGCCATCTACGAACCCCCCCAGGTGGGAACTCCCTCCAAATGTTTTTGTTCTGTTTTGGTTCCGTGTGAGCACGTTGAGAGATAACCATTCTGTCTGTTCTGTCCCAGAATGCCACTCAGAACAGCCTGGAGCTGCTGGAAGATCCCAGAGCCGCGGCCGTGGACGAGATCGCTGCCAAACTGGGGCTGTGTAAGGTCAGAGCCGCGTCACCGTCCATCCGTCAGCTCATCCTGTTGTTGTTTGTTGGTTGTTGACGTACGAATGATCTGAACAGGCCAAACTGGTTCAAACCAGTTTTCTCGGTCTGTCTGTCCTGATAAAAAGGTTTCAGTTTGTATTTCACTGTTACCGGTTTTTCATTAGCTTTCCAGGTGTAGTTTTTTGTAGTGGCAGAAGAGGGCGCTGTTTTCTTATTTTCATTGGCCAGTTTATTAACAGTTTAGGCCCAGTGAGGACAGAGAACAGAGCAGCATGTGGATCAGTGATGCTGTTACTGTTGGGAACATTGGACGTGTCTGTCTCCACTTCCTGGCCAACTGTGGAACTGCATGTCTCCTGGTTCACGCAGTGTTCACACCTGTTTCCATGTCTGTCCTTCAGGTGGGCTGGATCTTCACAGACCTTATCTCTGAGGACACAAGAATAGGAACTGTCCGCTACACCAGAAACCAGGTAGGAGCTCTGACACACCCCTTCCCTTCATCAGCATGTCTCATGACCTGCTGACCCTCTCTGTGCTGTGCTGTGACATCAGGACTCTCACTATCTGAGTGCAGAGGAGTGCATCACGGCTGGATTCTTCCAGAACAAGCACTCGAACCCCTGCAGGCTGTCACGTGATGGATACTTTGGTTCCAAGTTTGTGACAGTGGTGGCTACAGGTGAGTTTGTGACTTCAGGTAACCATGGTAACCAGCCAAGAGTTAGAAAGTTAGACTGGACTGTGATGTGATGTGGCCATCCCATAATATTAACCAGTGTAACTGAAGACACATGTTTTCTCTGGGACTGTAGCCAACAACAAGTGTGCTGTACACATACACCTGGTCCCATCACACAGCAGTGACATCATCACTTCACTCTGCATGGATCATGCGGATCATGTGACCTCTGATCTGGAGCCAAGAGTTTGTTTTTATTTTCTCATTGTTTCCAGGTGTTGAGATCAGAGATGAAGGTCATTACTGTCTCTGTTTATAGACCCACATGTTTGTGTGACTGCTGTTGTCATGGTTACCGTCTGATGACAGAAAAGGCTTTAAAGTGTGTGACAATCCAATGAGACTGGAGGTTCACACAATGAATATCAGTGTGAATAAATAAAACACACACACACCTGCTTAACAACATCTGAACTTTTATTATTTTTCCATTGAGAAAACTGCTATTTTATATCACAGTTGATCCTCTGCTGCCCCCTTTGGTAAGTTTTGATATAGTCTTCAGTCTAATAAAAAAGTCTAACATTTTTTCAGTAAGAAAAACTGACCACAGGAGGCAGCAGTGGACCAGCAGCTCATCTCTCCTGGTGAGCTAGAGTCACTGGTTTTCTCTGGGAGAAATATATTTACAAAGTAAATATATTTGTTTTGATTTGATTTCTCTTGAGGGGCTTGAAATTCTCAAAAGTGCTGGAGCTCTAATGTTGTTTGTGTTTTTGTACAATGGTTTCAACAAATATTCCTGTGATTGAGTCATTAAAAAGGTTGTAATTAAAACCTGCTCCACCACAGTTTGATTCTCTTCTGCCTTCCAAGACCCTCCACCTCCCAAGTGGTCTTAATCCAGCACAGCTGGAACAGTCTGGATTAAATTTGAGAAATGATCCATGAAATAGTTAAAAAAATGAAACAGCTTTTACAGCGACTTTGTCGATGGTTCTTCACACTTAAACTTCTGAAAATTCTCCACATCTCCAGGAGGTCCAGACAACCAGGTCCACTTTGAAGGGTACCAGGTGTCCAACCAGTGCATGGCTCTGGTCAGAGACGAGTGTCTGCTGCCCTGCAAAGATGTCCCAGAGCTAGGCTACGCTAAAGAGTCCAGCCCAGAACAGTACGTCCCAGACGTCTTCTTCAAGGTGAGAGGTCAAAACTGTGTGTCCTCCTAGACCGGGACACTCCCGGAGTGTCCCCTGGATCTCTGAATGGTTCCATGTGAAGTCCAAAAGTGGAATTTCTTTCACTTTTATTGAAAATAATTTAGTCTGAAAACTTCAAACCAAGGAGCTGCTGTTTAAAGTTTATTTGCTGGGATCAATTACTGCATGTCTGAAGTAATACTTCAGACTAAAAGTACTCTGGGGATAAAAACCTTCATTTTGTCAGTAGTTACAAATCTGTAGATGTCAAATACTAATGTTCTTGTCAGCGTTTAGAACCGTTCTCCTGCGAGAGCTGCTGCAGCCAAAATATGACTAAATATGCTAACAATTAGTCTCACCTGTGGCAGCTAACAGTAGGATTGGAGGTCAACATCAGAACAATGACGATGAAGTTAAAGCTGAAAAGGTTTTTTTTTCCCCTCCATCAACAGGACAAAGACAAATTTGGGAACGACGTGACGTTCCTGGCGCGGCCTCTTCCTGTGGAGTACCTGATCATAGACGTAAGAGCCGCTCCATGAAGGTAGGAACTAGTTGTCTTAGCAGTGTGTGTTTGACCTTCTGACTTTCTCTGACCTCTCTGAAGATCACCACCACCTTCCCCAAGGACCCTCAGTTCACCTTCTGCTCCACTCAGAATTTCCCCATCGAGAACAGAGACCTCCTGGGGGAGACGCAGGTGAGGGACACCAGCGTTCATCACCCTGTAGGAAACACCTGCTGCTGAAGACACAGTATTGACAGAAACTGTCTCCTCCTTCTTCTTGTCACGTTTGTGCAGGACTTCCACACTTTGGCCTCCCACCTGTCCCAGTGCTCCTCGTCCTCCTCCACCTTCCTGGACGTGGTGTCGGACTTCCACCTACTCCTCTTCCTGGTCACTAACGAAGTCATGCCCCTGAGGGTGAGCCTCCCTTTTTTACATTGGTTTTCCTGTTCCTCTGTCTGGAAGAGTTTCAGAGACGGAGACACCAACGTGCCCCTCCGTCCGTCCTCGTCTCACTCCTGCTGTTGTCTTGTTGTGACAGGACAGCATCGAGCTGCTGCTGGAGGCTGTGAAGACTTCTAACGAGGACCTGGCCCAGACCTGGAAAAGGTCTGAGCAGTGGGCCACCATCGAGCAGCTCTGCAGTAAGTCCCAGTGATGTGGACCAGCTGTCCACTGGTCTGCACCAGCTGATACATTTCTCACAGAGAGTTTTTAGTCCAGAGATATTAGAGGTTAGCCAAAGAGTTGAAGCTAAAGATTAGCCCAGGATGCTACTGTGCAGCCGTCGTCTCTTTATTTTCTGACAAAAGAATCTGTTGGTAAAATGTGTGGATGATCCAGCAATGCTCCCTCTGCTGTCCAGGTACTGTGGGCGGGCAGCCGCCCAGCTCTCTGGGGTACGGCGCGGCGGGTGGAGCCTCAGCACCGTCTTCCTCCTCGTCCATGTGGTCGTGTCTCCACTGCACCTTCATGAACCAGCCTGGCACGGAGCACTGCGAGATGTGCAGCCTGCCACGCAATTAACACCAAAGCTGCCCCCTCTGCCGATGACATCACAGTAACAGGACCACACCCCTGCCTCCCTCTCCCTGCCCCCACAGAGCAGACATCACAGTCTGCCCATTCGGACTTTCAGACACAGTCACGTCAAACCCGTCGGGACGTCCTCAGTCCTCACAGCATCAGAGGTGGGGCTTGGTTTAAAAAGCACTTTCCCATAATTATAACCCCGCCCCCTCCAAACACAGCTCCTCCCACTCCAACTAAAAACCTGCTGTGACTCAGGAAACAGCGAAGACTGCAGTGTTTGGGCGTTCTCCGTCTTCAGCAGCTCCCATCAGAAGCCTGTCTTCATTGGACTGGACCTTTGTCTCCATCAGGTTTTAGTCACGACCTTCAGTGGACAATCACTGGTCCGACCACAGACCAGACCTACTCCACCTTCATTTCCTGATGTGGTTCCTGATGGACTCTGGTTTGTTGGACTTTAGTTGAAATTTTGGTGGATTTGAATTTGGACTTGTTGTGATCTGTAGCTGATTAAGGAAAAACGCCACGGACACAGAATCAACGTGGTCGAAGCTACGATCGTATTCACCTTTAGGTGTTGCTGGAACCAACCAGTGTTCTCAGAGTTTGTTCTGTTTGAATTCATTAGCTCCTCCTCGTCCACACACTAGTGTCTCTGGTTGGTGTTTGAGGTGGAGATATTTATGAGATGTGTGATTTTTTATTTTATTTTTTTCCCTGAAGAGTTTCACAGTAATTCCATATGGAGTGATAAATAATTTTCAATTAAATTTACAGAAAATTGACAATATATCTGGTAAATGGATCCATTTTTTACCACCCCATTGGATTCTTTTTGGCTCCTCCCCCTCCATGTAGATCATGTGAGAGCGACTTCTTCTGATGTCACACTAACGACTGAACAGCGACATCATCTGTTTCCCTTCTGTTTCTGCTGCGTTCGCTGGTGGAGTCGTTGCAGGTCGTAGCATCACAGCCAGTTCATGTCATTTGCTGTTTGCCTGGATTTAATAAATGTGATAAAAATTTAAAATGAAATAATAATAAACTAAAACTCTTCCTACACGTCTGTATTTTTTGTATTTTCTGGTCTGGTGCTTCAATCACTCCCAGTTCCACCTGCGTCTGCAGCACAGGAAGCTGACGGACGGTCCAGGCTCCACACCAAACCTCATGGAGAAAATCAGGGATTTTAGTTCAGAACAAAAACTCAGTGCTGTCTTGGTCAACTTTCATGGTTCTCTGTGGAACTAGTATTTCTGGTAAGTCTTGGGTTAAAACCCTTCAACATTTACAGATGCAAACTACTTTTCTATCCACAGGATTAAAAGTCGACCTGCTCTGTGATTGGTTGTAAATCATTACATCATTATGACACTAATCACAACTTCTACCAAACTGCTCTGTCATCATCCTTTAAACGTGCGCACTGTCAGGAATAAATGGTGTTTTCTTACTGATTACTTTCATCCTCCCTCCAGGATCTCTATGCTGGGGGCTCTTTTGCCCCCTGAGGACCCCTGATGTCTGGAGGTCAAGGACTGACACTGACTTGAGTGAGTATTCATGGCTGTGGACATCCACCTGTCGTGGACCAGCTCTGTGGTCCGGCCCAGTTCAGCACGATAGTCGTTAGCTTCTTCAGCTAACACAGATGCGAAGCAGATGAAGATCAGGAATGTGAGACATCAAAGGGTTCTAGAGGAGGGAAGGAAACGTCCCAGAGGACTGAGGTCAGGCTGCCGTTAATCACTGTCCAAAACAAACCTGTCTTCAGGACTCTGTCCACGTTTCATCATGTCTGCCGGTCTGTGGGCCACTGAACTGCTCTGTGGACCACACCAACAGCAGCCTCTGCGGTCTGCTCCCTGGTGAGTGTGTTTATATTCAAACACCAGGTGTGCTTTGTCCCTGGTTTTATTGATGGTTTGTGTTGGTTCATAAACGTCTGTTGTCGGTCAAAAAAATAACATTTTCTGTCGACTCCATGAAACAAACAAAAATAAAACCTTTATTGATTCTACTATGACGTGAAGCTCAGGTGGGTGTGGCCACTGAACAGCCTCCTCCCCCCCGCTCCTCCTGCTCCTTCTGGTCTGGTGGTGATGATGAAGATAAAACCCTCAGCTTCATCCTGGTCTTCTCAGAACTGAGAGTGCAGCGTTGAACCTGGAACTGTTTTTAACCAGTGTGAAGGACTGTGAGGAATGGAACCTGCAGCACGTTTCTTCTTCTTCTTCTTCTCTCTCTTCTTCTCTGCAGCTCTGTGTGCTGCTCACAAACTCAGAGAGAGCTCCAGACCAGAGTGGGACTTGAGGAACGAAGGTAGGTGTCTGATGGATGTTCTCCTGCCCTTGGTCGTCTTAAACACAGGAACTGTTTCTTTTCTGCGGACATTTCTGTCCAAACCTTCAGACACACAGACAGACTCAGATCTACCAACCCTCCTTCACGTCCATGGAGAAAACTTTCTTTTAAACTCAGGGTCAAAACTCAGCAGTTGTTGAAGTTTGAATGTTTGTTGTTTTTTTGTTTTGTTTGTTTGTTTTGTTGTTGTTTTGTTTCTTGTTGGGAATTTAGTGTTTGAATAACTGGTCATTTTTCATCCTGTCCTGCAGCCCCTTCATGCATTTATTTGTCTTGTGTGTGCAGAAGAGAAGGTGACCACCAGGGGGTGTGCTAACCTCACACTGGTGCTGGACAACTGGAAATTTGCCATCGTGTCGCAGGTCAAAGATCTGCTCCTGCACGACCACAATACAGTGCTGCCTGATTATGGAAGGTGACGTCACTGAACCGTTCATCTGCTGTAATAAGTATTGAGGGAGAACTTTACTAACTGTAAACCCACACGCTGTCTGTGCTCAGCTCAAGGCTGGTGTTTATCCCTGTAATAACTGTACTGTGGTGATTGTTTGACTTTCTTCGACTCAGGATCCAGCACCTGTCGGACGCTCTCGGCGACCTCTACAAGGAGTTCAATGCCATGAAAAACCGTCTGGCCGAACTGACCGCTAAGTTTGACGCAGTGGAGGGCTTCGTGGACACTTTTCAAACTGGAAGGAAACCTGTGCAGCGCCGAGTGGGGTACCGACCACCTGTGGCAGCTGGGGGTCAACCTCAGGGGAGGAAGAGGACCAGGGTGGTGATCCGTAAAATCGTTAGACCAGCTGCTTGACAGGAAGCTAGATTTGGAAACGAAGGCGTGATGACCGGAAACCTATATTTGTTCACAACTCTCTGTCCACGGAGAAATCAGTGACTATAACCGAGGGACACAGGAGCTACAGTACACTGTTATTGTTGTTGTTCGTGTTTCATGTCACTTTAAATAAGGCTGACTTTTCTTTTTCTTTGTCTGTTTTAACGGTTTTAATCATGTTCTATCGAGACCGGTGTGTAAACATGATACAACGTGCGTTGATTGGCTGTTGAGAGTCACACGACCGATGAGTTAAGAGAGCGGTGTGTCTGAACTGGAGCGTCTGCTGCTGTGCCAATGACCTCGTGTATCAATCGAACGTCGTACGGAGGGGAGAAAAGTATCGTTCAAATACGACAATTATCATTCGTCTGTCCGGACTGTGGAGTTTATCCACACCGCCGACAGCACAGGTTGGTGTTGAGCTAACATGGCTAACGCTTCAAGATGAGACAGTAGCTGCAGGAAAAGAGTTTTACTCCAACTACGGCACAGAGAAAAGTCATCTAGTTATTGTCATCAAAATAAAAATAATATCTTCTCCATAAATTCTGTTTTGACGTCAATAATGTTTAATTTGAGGAAGCCTTAGTTTGGCGCTGTTGTCATCCCCTGGTTGAACTCACATACATGACAGAGTAACTGCTCAGGATTTGACTGTTTAATTTGAGGTTTGATACAAATACTGTTGGTAGTAGTTCGACGTTTAATACAAATACTGATAGAAGTACTTCAAAGATGAATACGAATACTAATGGAAGTAGTTCGAAGTTTAATACAAAGACTGATAGAAGAGAGAGAGTGGCTGACTCAGCGACTTGAACCAGGTGAACGGAGTCCTGTCAGGGTTTACTTCGGTGCCATGACGGACATCGAACAGCTGCTGTGGAATCGCCGCTTCAACGCACGTCCGGTCAGGAGTGGGAGAAACAACTCCCAGCAACAGAGGACGACAGGTAATTTACCTCTGTGTGTGTGTGTGTCCATCATGAAAGTTTAATTATAGCTGTATGGTAACTCTAGCTATCTGATAGAAAACGACGACAACAGAGTGTTAAATAAATATAAAAATGTATTGACATTTCGATTAAAAGCTGCAGCTATAGGAGTCAGTGATTTTAAATTTAAAACGTCCTCTTCTAAGTTAACGTTACAAAGATAGGATTTTGCTGCTGTGATGTACGACTGCCCCCTGCTGGTTCAGTAACAGCCATGTAGTGTGAAGATGTCTGTAAAACATTAAAATACAGTGACGGGAATGGAGAGACAAACAGATCGTTAAAATTCTGATGGTTCTGTTTAAATGTTAACCTCAGTCGGTCTGCATTGTTCTGTGGCAGATACACACACACACAAACACACACACACACAGACCGGTCATAAATATATGACATGAAGGAGCTCCAGAATGGTTTGATCCAAATAGGTTTTATTGAAGTCATGTCTGAACCTTAGCTGTCCACCCGGCCTTCTGCAGATTTTGGCCGAGCAGACACGGAATCGGTGCCGAACCTGACAACTGGAACCAGAAGGAGGACTGTGGACACATGGACGTTAGTGAAACAGTATTTAAATGCTGGATGGACGGTTCCTGTCAGAACCCGTACTGATGGATCTGTGAAAAACAAATCTAGCTGTGGACACGATGAAGATATTTGTTTAATTTGTCTTTTAATGTTTTCATTATTTGGTATTTGTTTAAATCTTTATTGATAAAGACACAAAAACAATTCCTCTTTGAAATAATATAATTAAAATTAACTAAATATAAATTCAATTTTTTTTTTTTTTTTTATTATTAAAAACCTATGAACGCTACACAATGTTAGCCTCTACATTGACTTTTTCTTCCTCTCACTTGTTTCCATATTCCATGTTGGAACCAGTCTGTATCATATTAGCCTTTGTTAGCATGTTCCAGCACTGAGGGAGTTACTGGGGTGACTTCACATTAGTACCAAGTCCTCTTTCTAACACTGATGTTTTCTGTGGTGGTTCTTGTTGTTCCACTATGGTAAATAGTACCATAATGACTGTTTAACCTTTGGTGTGTAAAGTTCCTGTATATTCTGATAGTACTACTCCAGCTGGAACTATTTTATGGTCACATCAGTCCATACACTTTTGTTCAGTTTCTGCTCATGTGAAGGTACTGATATTGTTACCAGTTATGCTATAAGTTTCTGCAGGGAGGAGGGACCAGAAGTGATGGTGGAGGAGGTAGGAACAAGCAGCTACTGAGAACTTGAACCTTTGATTGGTTAATAGAACAAACTCTGCTAATGTTCATTTACAGTCGAGAACTTCTCCGGTCAAAACTCCTGAGTAACATTTTGGGTAGGTCACCAAACATTTACAGATGTTTGTTCAAAATCACTGAGGTTAGGACTTTTAGTTCTTCGTCTAACTTTTCAGCCTGTCAAGTATTTGCGTCTACTCCTGCTTTGTTTTGCTCCTCCTGCAGAGTCGAAGGCACAGGAATCTTAGGGATCCCACCACAGTCCCCACCAGCAGCAGCAGGACTGCTAACACAAAACACAGCACGTCCACAGAGTAGTAGGAGAACCAGGGCATCTTGTAGGACTGGGTGCGTAGATGTGAAGCCCCTTTGTGTCTCATGACAAACTCTGTCCAGAAGATGGCAGTGTCCAGAGGATGCATGGGTTTGTCCAGATGGAGGTCAGACAGCTGCTTCATGTTGGTCCTGTAGGAGGGATTCTCAAGAACTTCTTTTACTGCCTCCAGAAAGTTCTGACTACTGATTCTAGCCGCATCCACCACCTTAGCAGCTCCTCGTGTTTCCAACCTCAGGACATTTTCAAACTGGTCAAACAGCAGAGGGAGACCTAACACTGGAACACCGTGGTAGATGGCCTCGTAGATCCCGTTAGTTCCACCATGAGCCACAAAGGCCTTGATTTTGGGGTGACCCAGAAGGTCGTTCTGAGGCATCCAGTCCACCAGCAGAGTGTTGTTGGCCAGATTTTTGGGACGCTCACCAACGTGCTTCCATATGACCTTCTGAGGAATCTGGGCGAAAGCAGCAGCGATTTCAGAGGTGATCTCCACAGGTAGACCTCTCACCAGAGTACCAAGAGACATCAGGATGAATCCATGTTCTCCAGAACTTTGGACAAACTCCTCCAGGTCAGGTGGCAGAGGTTTAGAAGGTTTACACTGAAAGCCACCAATGTAGATGATGTTGGGCATGGTGGGTCTGGGGAATTCAAAGTCAAAGTCCACCCTCATCAGCCAGATGTCTGCTCCCTGTAGGAGGTGGTAGAAGTTTACATCTGGTCCAAAGTACCGGTCCACCAGTCGGTTGTAGGGAGGACAAACTACAAACTCGTCAACACAGGTGTTCAGAATATAGTAAAATATATTCATGGCTCTTTGCCTGAACGTCATTTTATCTGGTACAGCATATCCTGAGGTTGGAACGTAGGACCAGGGTGAGGGAGCAACCACAAAGTGTCCTTCTCCACTGGTGATCCATCTCACATTATAGACTGTTGGTAGTTTTAGTTCATGGGCTATCAGGACCCCTACAGGCAACCCTGGGTCAATAAGAACCAGGTCATACTGAGCATCACGCAGCTCCTTCATTAAGGTCTGGTTGTTAAACATCTCCACGGCCAACATGCTGGCCTTCTGGTGGATGTTGTACAGTCCAGTCATCATCTCCCAGTAAAACTTCCCAAACGTGATCACAGACGAGCCTTGCTTCTTGATCTCCAGCATCTTCTTCAAGAAGTTGACGAAGAAGTCCTCCTCCTCGATGTCTATGGCCTGAGGCAGGGTGACGGTGATGGAGCGGTAGTGCGCTGCACTTTCTTTAACGTACCAGCTGGTGGCAGTGCGGACCACTGTCATCTCATGGCCCCGAGCGTGGAGGCTCTGGACCAGCAGGTTCATGTTGACCCAGTGGCTGCCGTAGCAGGTTCGTGTTGACCCAGTGGCTGCCGTCCACAGGGAACACCAGGATCTTCCCACTCTGGACACCAGGGGGCAACAGGGTGGAGACCAGTGCCCCCAGAAGGAGCAGAGACAGTCCTTGGAAACTCCCCATGAGAGAAACTTCAGAGCAGAGACAGGAGAAGTTCGACATCATGTGACATGTGAATTAGTACCAGGGGCTAGAGTGAGTAACAAGGATTAGATTTAAAGCAGGAACCTGAAGGATGGTTGGTTCATGTTATGTAACAACTCTTTGTCTTATTTATGATGAACTATTTGTTTTGATATTTTTCAGTGTCTTACTCCATTTTCTCGGCTAACCTTTAGTTAGTTTTGTTTGGTTAGTTTAATTCTCTTCGTTCTGCTGAAGCTACTGTAGGTTTTGTCGATTAATAAATGAAACGAATCATTCACACGTTCATAATAATAATCACAAAATCAATAGTTAATTGATATTAAAGGTTAGAAATTATGCCATAACTTAGTTCATGTTTATTTTCACATTTTTAAATGTCACTGTTTTTTAAATGTGTATTCTGTTCTTATACCGGAACCAGTATTCGCCACTTGTTGCTGTTACAGCTGATTTAATTGAGACGTTGCATAAAACGAAGGATCGACGCATATAAATTAAAGTGACGTTATTATGCTTACGACGAGAGCAAAACGAGTTACTTTGTTAATTGATAACGAATGGACAGTAATTGCCGATTATGTTAAAATGCATTTTTACTAATTCATTTAATATAATATTTAGTGCAATATTTAATTTCTATCCTCGAACTGTTTTGTAAATGTAGTTCTCGCGGCGTGAACGAGAGGCGGCGAGGAGAGCTGCAAATAAATGCGGGTTTGAAAGACCCGGTGTTGTGAAGAGAGTTACGGCTACATCAGTTTAATGGTTTGGTTGATGGGGGCCCATTTGGTTACACTTCATGGCTCAGATTTATGTATATTCAGAGTATCGCTGAGGTCAGTTTTATGAAAATATTCAACGTTTTAGCTAAATATTAGCCATGTTTACTTTGACTTTGGCCCATTTTCTCGGCCACTTCTGGCTTTTATTTTGGATTTTCGACATTTTACACCACACATCCGGTGTAGTCTGCTGCACTTCAGCCTATGGCTAGGCTAACTTTTTAAAATCTTTTGGCCAAAATTCATGTAGTTCTGAACAACCGTTGACAACATGGCGACGTTTTCTTAAGTACAAGCTAAACGTTTAGGCTAACAATACATTTTAAGGCACTTTTTTGTAATTTGAAATAATTTAAAATATTTCTGGTCTCACTTTAAGTCATTTCTAATATAAAGTTCACTTTTATCTTCTGTACATTTTTTAAAGCTCAACCTTTTATTTAGGAAACATTTGACTTAACTCTTAGTTCCCTGTCAGTCAGACTGGTAAAGTGTTCAGGCTGTTGGTGATGGTTTTAATTATTCACTTAATTATTTCTGCTACATTTTTAGTACTTGATTAACAGTAATGTGAATGTAGTTAAAAAACAGATTTGATGAGATCTTTTAGGCACAAGACTTGAAACTAGAGAATACTACTGTAAGAGTTTGTTCCCATCAACAGAAGTTTTGACAAACTCTTACATGTTTCAAAGTCCAGCCGAGTTCCTGCTTCTGGTCTTTGTTCACTCACTGATCTTTCTACTATTTACAGCACAGCCTTCAGGTCCAAACGGAGGAACACACTCCCACAAGTGTCCAGTTTCTGCACACAGACAGTGGAAGAAGCAGAAAGAGGAATAAGGTCTACACACACACACTCACTCACTCTCAACTGTTTGTTTGTTTGTTTGTTTTTAGTCTCTGTCAGCAGAATCACATTCTCACTTCCTGATGTCCAGTCAGGTTGGAGAAACAGGAAGAAAGCAGTTACTCACCATGAAAAACAACCTGGAGCAGATATTCACTTCTCTTTTCTGGACCAGACGAGACAAGCGTTGGGTCTAAATGGACAGGAACCCAAACTCCAGACTGGATTGTTGTGTTACATAAGGAGAAAACACAGAAAGAGGAGGGGAGAGAGGAGGAAAAGAGGGAGGAGGAGCAGAAGTCCAGGAAAACATAACTAAGTAAGTGAGGAAAAAAAAAAGAAAAACCCAGGACTACACACACACACACACACACACACACACAGGCTCCAGTGGATTAGTGTTAAAGTAATCTGATCTTTTTTTTTCCAGACTGAAGCTTAAATTAACCTGGTCATTGAGTACTTTGTCCTGTTATTTTAGCCACAGCCACAAAGATGTTACTGTTTTACAGCGTGACACTTTGTTCTCTCTGGACTTTGACCTGAGTCCTGAACAACTAGCTGGAACCCAAAGAACAACAACCCTGTCTGTTACTGACTCCACTTCTTTACCAGATCTGAGAACCGATCAGTACCAGGAACGTCACATCATTCAGAGCAGGCACATCTGGAAACTGAAACCAAGTCTGGTGTGTTTGCATTTTTACAGATGCATGCTGGTGTTTTAAGTCCAAACCAGGAGGAAAACCAGGTGAGCGGGGATGCCAGCAGATCCATCCATCCTGAAATCCTGAAATCCTCAAATCTGGTGAGCAGCTCGTCTCGTTATGCAGAACTGTAAAAGAAACAACATTTTCCTGTATGATTTAGCAGAAAAAAACACATCTGTTTTTTCTTCTATCCAAAGTTAAAGTCACAACAGTCGTCCTCACAGTCATTTTATTTCTTTAATTTAACCTTTATTTAATCAGAAAGAAAAACATCATCTCTTCGACCTGAGTGCCTTGGTTAGTACAAGATGTACAGTATACAAAAATAAAACTGGATCAGAACCATCACCACAGACAAAGTTAGGACATGAACCGGTGGTTTCCAACATGTTATTCTTACATGAACCGGTGGTTTCCAACATGTTAAAAGATTTTAGCACAAGTAAAAGATTTTAGCATTAAAAGCTGTTTTCATTTATGTTTACTTGTTATTGTCACGTTCAAAATCTACAACACTAATAGATAATCACAGAAAAACAGGAAAGGACTCAGGAATGTGGTTTTCACTGTACTAGGGAGATATTCCTAGGTAAGGACTACAAAGAAGGAACCAGGAACGCATGTTGTTGTCATCTTGACCTGGAACATCCAGACGGACCGTCTGCGTCTACTCCTGCTTTGTTTTGCTCCTCCTGCAGAGTCGAAGGCACAGGAATCTTAGGGATCCCACCACAGTCCCCACCAGCAGCAGCAGGACTGCTAACACAAAACACAGCACGTCCACAGAGTAGTAGGAGAACCAGGGCATCTTGTAGGACTGGGTGCGTAGATGTGAAGCCCCTTTGTGTCTCATGACAAACTCTGTCCAGAAGATGGCAGTGTCCAGAGGATGCATGGGTTTGTCCAGATGGAGGTCAGACAGCTGCTTCATGTTGGTCCTGTAGGAGGGATTCTCAAGAACTTCTTTTACTGCCTCCAGAAAGTTCTGACTACTGATTCTAGCCGCATCCACCACCTTAGCAGCTCCTCGTGTTTCCAACCTCAGGACATTTTCAAACTGGTCAAACAGCAGAGGGAGACCTAACACTGGAACACCGTGGTAGATGGCCTCGTAGATCCCGTTAGTTCCACCATGAGCCACAAAGGCCTTGATTTTGGGGTGACCCAGAAGGTCGTTCTGAGGCATCCAGTCCACCAGCAGAGTGTTGTTGGCCAGATTTTTGGGACGCTCACCAACGTGCTTCCATATGACCTTCTGAGGAATCTGGGCGAAAGCAGCAGCGATTTCAGAGGTGATCTCCACAGGTAGACCTCTCACCAGAGTACCAAGAGACATCAGGATGAATCCATGTTCTCCAGAACTTTGGACAAACTCCTCCAGGTCAGGTGGCAGAGGTTTAGAAGGTTTACACTGAAAGCCACCAATGTAGATGATGTTGGGCATGGTGGGTCTGGGGAATTCAAAGTCAAAGTCCACCCTCATCAGCCAGATGTCTGCTCCCTGTAGGAGGTGGTAGAAGTTTACATCTGGTCCAAAGTACCGGTCCACCACTCTCTGATAATGAGGGGCGGCCACAAACTTGTAGAAACCTTTGGAGAAAAGGTCCTTCATGACATTTGTGACTCTTTGTCCAAAGGTCATCTTATCAGTTGCCATGTGTCCTACAGCTGGAACGTAGGACCAGGGTGAGGGAGCAACCGCTGAGTGTCCTTCTCCACTGGGAATCCACCTCACGTTCAAAACTGTTGGCAACTTAAGTTCATAGGCAACCAGGAGTCCTACAGGCAACCCTGGGTCCAGGAGAACCACATCATACTGAGCATCACGAAGCTCCTTCATCAGAGTCTCGTTCTCCAATATCTGCAGAGCCATCATGCTGGCCTGCTGGTGAATAGTGGAGAGCTGATTCAAAATGTACCAGAAGAAATTGACCAGAGCAGTCGGAGAAACTCCTTCTTTCTGAAAGGTCAGGGTCTGCGTCAACATGGAAATGTAAAAGTCCTCCTTCTCCATCATGTTGGCCTGAGGCAGGGTGACGGTGATGGAGCGGTAGTGCGCTGCACTTTCTTTAACGTACCAGCTGGTGGCAGTGCGGACCACTGTCACCTCGTGGAGCCTCTGGACAAGCAGTTTCATGTTGACCCAGTGGCTGCCGTCCATAGGGAACACCAGGATCTTCCCACTCTGGACACCAGGGGGCAACAGGGTGGAGGCCAGTGCCCCCAGAAGGAGCAGAGACAGTCCTTGGAGGTTCTCCATGGAGGAACCCTGACATACACAACATAACAATCAAGTTTATTATGAACAGCACATGTGGACCTGGTCCACTCACACACCTTTAAGAACCACAGCGGAGCAGAGCAGACTGTCCACCCAGTCAGATCAGTGTTTACAGCACTGCCACTGAACACCAGTGAGCTGCAGGAGGAGACATCAGGTCTAAACTCACCGTCAATCCCTGAGAACCACTGCACAAGTCCTGTGTGTTTGCGTGTGCACGTGTGTGTGTGTGTTTGGACTGAATCAAAATAAATCCAGACTTCAACCCTGATTGTTGTTACACAACACAGCGGAGAAAGAGGAAGTGAGGGGGCGTGGCTAAACCATTCAAATGTAAATAAGATAATAGAGCTCCACCTACTGCTGGTGGAATGTGAACTTTGACACACACACACACTCATAGCTGTCCTAAATGTTTGTACATACTATTAAAAAAAAGTGGGCTAGCAAAAGAAGTTAGTTCAGATAACTAAGGGTTAGCTACCCTTTTAGCTGGTTGCCTTTTAGCTAACCTTCAGATTCCGTCGTGGTTGTTTTGCTAGTTGTGGTACATTATGCCTACGTGTTAGCATTCTTTTTATGTTGTAGATGGACGAAGAAAACCTTCATTTCCTTTTTTTTGTTTTTTTTTTTTTCTGTATGATGGCTAATGTTTTAGCAGCTCCTCTTTGAATTCTGTGGTTTGATGACAGCAGCCTCCAGGTCAGTGCACTAAAGGTTCCTGTGTGTTTCAGTTCTGGACCTCTCAGGATGTCTGGTCTCTGTCCTCTGGTCCTGGTCCTCCTGGTCCTCTGTGGAATCTGGGTTCCTGCTGTGTCTGATGTCGGGGACTTTTCTCCATGTTTGCAGTTCTTTTACAGGTCCTGTCCCCCTAAAGGTCTGACAGGGACCACCATCTGCCAGCGCTACCTTAACCAGTTCCGTTTCGCCACACTGTACAGTCGACAGCGGCGCTCGCCCTGGTTCTCTGCTTATGTCTATTCAGTACCAGCTGGAAAAAGGCCGCCAGCAAACTGGAAGTTTGAACCTCAGGTCTGTGTGGGAGCGGGCGATGTCTAAAAGTTAGCCAAGAATTGATTTCAAAAAATAGATTCCCTCAACTCCCACTGTGTCCTTCTCTGTTTTGGTAACAGTTAGCTTATCCAGGATCTGATGGGAACATGATGCTGTTTCCACCAGGTTCCCTGGACCAGAACTTGGTGGACAGTCAGGGGGTGGAGCTGGACTACATAAATTCCACCTACTCTCGAGGTCACATAAACCCCAGCATCCACCACAAGAGCAACGAGGACCGCATGGCCACCTTCACGCTCACAAATGTGGTTCCTCAGAAGGCAGGGTCCAATGATGGACCCTGGGAAACCCTGGAGCAGCACGTCAACAGAACCCTGGCCTCTTTCTGTCTTGGAGAGTCCTATGTGGTAACTGGAGTCATTCCGTACCAGAGTGAGGAGCGCTGGCTGAAGAACCACCGCGTGGCCGTGCCGGAGTATCTCTGGTCCACCTACTGTTGTCCAAACTTCAACCACAGTCTTCCTTCAGAACTGAAGAACGCCTTCCCCACGTACGCCGCCATCGGACGCAACGACCGCAACAGTTCCCAGGAGATTGTTCCAGTGAGTGAAAAGGCGAAAAAGGAGTTCAAGGGCTACGACGTGAGACGCATGTCTCTGGAGGAACTAGAGAAGGTTCTGAGGGACAGACTTGGAACTGAGGTCAGGATCTTTTACGAAGGCTGCGCAGGATTAGACTAGTCCTAATCTGCAAAAGTCAACCCCTCACTCTCCCTCACCAAAGTTCATAGAATAAAAAAATCAATACATTCAGCTGGTAGTTAAACAGGAAGCTTTTATGTCTGCTGCCTCCTGTGGTCAGTTGGTGTCACTGAGGTCAGTCTGAACAAAGAATCACAAACAGTGAAGTCACAATAGAACTTGGTGACTGAGGCAGCCGTGGATCAACAGCTGCTGAGTCATGGTCTTCTCTGTGGACACTGCTCTGTCCGTGGTGTTGAATTCAAACTCCTGTCACGTGATTTCAACCACGATTAACTCAAACTAATTATTATTTTTTAATTCTGTCCTCGTTAAAAATCACTCACCTCGTTTAAATAATCCAGACGTGTTCTTAGCTCTGACGTCCAGCAGGTGGCGCCAATGTCTCACGAATGAGTGACTATCAGATTAACGTGAACGGTGGTTATTCATGAGATTAAATATTACAAATCAAAATATCTGATTTGACGACTTCATTTCAGGTTGTGTTTTTTTTTTTTTTTTTGCCAACGTCCTTAATCATCGTCTTATAGTATTTCTTTAACAAGTGTTAAAATGGTACTGTGTTTTTTCACAAACTAAATTAACTACACAATATTAATGTTTATCATAACTGAACATTAATGTTGGTGTTAACATATATATGTCATATTTATATATATACATATATGTCATATGTATTGTATATATATTTTAAATTATGTATATATATTTTACTTGATGACTTTGAACTCATCTTACTGGAGGTTTTTCCTCATCTAACTTCCTTTTCATGTTTATTTGTTGTCATTGATCATCAGACACTGGTGTGACGTTCAATCAGATGCTTTTTATTGAGCCAACAGTTGTTTTACAGAACAGTACCAGGAACTAATGGAGCTCATCCAGCACACACTCACTAATACGTCTGGTTCATGGGGGGTGAGAAGATCTTCTCCCACACCTCCACCTTCATGATGGACCTGCCCAACGGAGACATGGTGGCCTTGATGTCCAGGGTTTTTCCCTCAAAGGTCAGGTCACAGCCGTTGGCCTCCAACCGTTTGAACCCGTTCTGCTCCTTGTCGTAGTACATGTTCTTGTACAGGTCCTCGTTGCACTCTTTGCTCTGAGGGAAGATTCCAATCGCGAACCAGTTCTTGTACATGTTGTAGTCGTAAGGCACGGAGAACATGATGGCCAACTTCTCTTTAGCGTTGTTACTGTTTCTCCAAAAGAGGTCATAGGTCAAGACTCCCACTGCACCTGAGGCCTTGCCACCACTCTTGGAGAAGTTGCACACTTCGGTCTTCAGGGGGCGCACAGTGGGCTGTGGTGGGGCGTGGCAGTTGCCGTTCTCCAGGAAAACCCTGAAGAAGTGAAGAACAAAAAAGGGGATAGAGAAAAAGATAGGAAAAGTTTAATGGAGAGTCAAGCTTCAATCAGTGGACTTGTTGTTGTGGCAGTAAAAGCTTCTTGGCTGGGGGGGGGCGCTGATGAGCAACGACGATGTAGAACACATTTTGAAGTGGCTCCTGTGGAATGTGAGGATTTTTATTATTTATTAGTTTGTAAAGTTGTGCTCAGTGTAAGAAGGCGAGGCAGGTAAACTCAGACATCGCCATGACAGGCTCAGAGTTGCCGGAGCAGCCACAATCTAAGACACCTGACCAGCATGAGGGAAATGATGGCCGGGATGCAGAGAGGTTTTACAAAACAGTTTAAAGAGGGAAATTTCAGCTCATTTGGAGTATTTTGCAGGAAGTCCTTTGACTCAACGACAAACCGATACTGGATGGAGCCGACTACACTTTATGCCCTAAGGCCCACAGATGGTGAGACCCCACGGCCACTTGTTATTGAAGTGAACTTATTTCAAATTCCAAACTAATGTTTGTTTTCCAGTCAAACTAACGTTGGTAGAATCAGTGAAGACGTCCAGGTGAAGTGTTTAGCTAACACTAGCTCTGGTGCACTAGTAGTTAACGTTGTCTCCAGGCATCAGATCTTGAAACAAACTTCACTGCCACCTACAGGCTGGAATGTTACTAATGCACCCTAAAGTCTCAGCTAAGTCCCTCTGGTGACTTCCTGTTGGTGTTGCACTGGGTCGGGGGCCCAGTGTCGTCCCCACTGACTGTGGCTCAGCACCACATTCACTTCATCACAAAGAAAGAAAAAAACAGGGAACTGTCCCTTTAACTCACTTGGGGTCCAGCAGGCAGTACTGGTTGGTGAGGTTGGTGATCTCGATGGTGATGTTTCTCCGGCTCGTCAGGTTGGCGGCCAGAGCCTCAGCTGACTCACTCATGATGCTGGTCTGGTTGGAGCTGGAGCAGAAGCTAACATTAAAGGTTCAGTCTGCAGTTTCCTCAGGTTCTACGTCCACACTGACGGGTTCTTACCTGGTGACGGGAACCTTGGTTCTGTGCTGACTCTGGTGGCAGCAGCTGCAGCTATGAGAACTCACCGTACTGCTCCACCTTCCAGTTTGGAGAGAAATGGGCGTGGTCCACCCACTGACCAGAGCCCACCCACATGTGTCCCCACCCACAGGCACCTGTCAGTCAGAGGACAGGCATGTAGACTCAGGAGTGTTCAATTCTGGAGTCGGGGTGTGACCCATAACAATGAGCACTGTGACTCTTTCAGACTGTCCTGGCAGGTTCGATCGGTTTTTGGTCCCTTGACACTGAGTCTCAGGAATGTTGTGTTTCAAGCCTTCGGTGCTAAGGTTTGGACCTGGAGACAACGCCTGGAGACAAGACCCAGAGACAAGGCCTCCAAACAGGACCTGGAGACAGTCAGAACAACATTCCTTCAAACTGTCCACCATATCTGAAAACCAAACCCAGGTTTGGTCTGAACCTACTTTCCCTCCATCTTCTATGGACAACTTCTTTGGAAACTGGACAAATCTTGGGATTACTACTTCCAAGGACCTCTATAATCAGAACAACGTTCCTTCAAACTTAATGTTGTTTAACCCCCGCCCACTCACCCCTCCCTCTTCAGTCCGCAGACAAAATCAGTGACTTTAATATTTTGTTTTTTCCCTTTAAATCATCTCTCTGTTTCCTTTATTTCTGCTCTTTTTTCTTGATTGTTGTTTTTAAGGTTGCTCTTTTTCATCAGTTTTATTTTGTTCTCTTTCCTTTTTATTTTTTAACCCTATATTTCTTGTCTGAAGTTTCACATACTTTACTTATTTGTATTTTTTTTATTTTGATGTTTGTATATATTGTTTGCCTTTTCTCCTCATCTCTCTTTTCTAATTTCTCTTTTCTTTAGCTCTTTCTTCTGCTCATGTTATCTTCGTCATCTCTGACTTTCTGTTTTTCTCCTGCTCTTTAACCTCTTGTTCTTTTCATGGCACCTTGAAATAATCAGAGACACAGTGTGGATCATTGACTCGTTTTATTGATCAAACACCAGGACCTGACATGAGGGACCCTCTGAGTCTGGGTTCTCAGACCCAGGTCTAACCCATCCTGTCGTAGACCTCCAGTTTGACCATGGCCCGGCCCTCGTCGGACATGCAGGCCCTGATGTCCACGGCGTTGTTCCTGAACACGACCCCCGAGCCGTCGGCCTCGTGGCGGACAAAGTGGGAGAAGTCTTTGCTGTTGTACATGAGCTTATAGAGCTTCTCGTCGCAGGCCTGGCCCTTCTCGAAGATCCCCACGCCCAGCCAGTTCTTGTAGAAGTTGTAGTCGAAGGGCACGGAGAACATGACGGCCATCACGCCATCGCAGCTTTTCTTCTGCATGTGGAAGATGTCGTACGTCAGGACCCCCACGGCACCCGACGCCGTGTTGTCGTCCTTGGTGAAAGAGCAGACCTCCGTGTTGTTGGTGCGGACAGTTGGCTGAGGAGGACTGAAGGAGAAACCACTCTCCATGTAGACCCTGGTCAGAGCAGGAGAGACGGAGCTCACTCAGAAAATCAAAACCAAAACATTAACAGACAGAAAAAAGCTAATCACCCAATATCTCAATAGTTCGCTGTGGGATATCTAAAGGTTAGCCCAGAAAATCAAACCCTGATCCATTGTTGTTGTTGTTGTTGTTTGTGTGCATTCATTGAACAGGAAGGGTGTAGAAGAGAGAGGAGGAGGAGGAGGAGGAGGTGATGCTGCACAGGATTCAGGCTGGAGATGAACCTGGGTCACAGGGAGGGCCCCCACCTCCTCCCCAGGTGAAACAGTTCTGGGGCGTGGCCCTGTTACTTCTCTGATCAAATCAGTTCTAACTGTGTGCAGGAAAGTTCCATTACTTTGGATTAACCAGGCAGTAAGAACTGCTCAGGTTGGAGATCTCCATGGAGCAGTTGCGATTGGTGGTGAGGGTGGCGGAGTGGGACTCTGCTGTCTCAGGCATGATGAAGATGAGGAGGATGAAGATGACAGCTGCTAGAAACTGGAGGGACTGACAAAGGAGACAGAAACACATCAGAGCTCAAGTCCTCAACCTTCAGAACGTTCAGAACCTTCTCATGTTCTAAAACCATCACCTCTACAGAAGAACCTTCTCATGTTCTAAAACCATCACCTCCAGAACCTTCTCATGTTCTAAAACCATCACCTCTACAGAAGAACGTTCTCATGCTCTAAAACCATCACCTCTACAGTAGAACGTCTCTCTCTGTCCACTGAATGTTGAAGGAACATGAAAGTACTCACATCACCGTCGGCGTCTCTCAGACAGGAACACAGAACGTCCTCTGACTGCAGACTGACTTCACTCGCCCCAGTGTCACATCTGGCCACACCCACCAGGGGGCGTGGCCTCAAATACCAACCCGACCTGAAGAGCTGAGGCCTGATGGACCTGAACTAAATACCTGAACATCTGGTGAGATTTAAAAAACCAACAGACACACCCACCTCACACACACACACACACACACACACACACACACAGTGGCCTCTGACTGAACATGAGTCATTTTAAATGGAGCAGAAATTCTTAAATCCACAACAACTAAGACAGTCATTCATCATTAGCAGACACACACACACACACACACACGAATGATGAAAAATCTGAAATCATAGTTTTGTGTCAAACTGTGAAACTGCAACAAACTACAGAGTGAAAAACAGAAAACAATTGGAAAATGGAATAAAATAAAATGACAGGAAGTAACACAATACGAAAGTGACAAAAACAGTCAGAACAACAGTCACTGCAGGTGATCTGATTCTGATTAGAATTTATTTACACCGTCAGTGGAGAGTGGACAGTCAGTCAGT